CCCAGACATATTTGCACTTGATACCGGGGCCGGTGGTACGACATCCCCTACGACTGTTTCAAGTCCATCGTCGACATCCGCGACTCGCCCATGCAGTATCAAATGCAAATATGTCTGGGTCTTGAAACTTGTGATGCGAGGAAGGGAATAGTGAGCATACTGTAATGCGCTGCAACGCATGACAAGCTTTTCCGTGGTTCTGAGTTGCGTACTGCGCATGAGAAGTTGCGTTTTTGAATGACAGGCAAGGGGGGCTCTTTGCGACCACGCAATACAGAGTTCACAGTCGTGCCAGACTAGCATGACAAATTTCGCAATCTCCCAGACCCAGACATATTTGCATTTGATATGCAGGGCCTGGTCTCGGTCCCCGGCGACGTAAGCGTCGGGAACTCGCACGTGGTCACCCTGGGTCCTATGAACCTCAAGACCACCACCTCCATGGTGGTCGCGGACAAGGCGCTGAGCAACATCCGGATCAACTTGCGGGACTCCGACAACTTCCCCATCTTCGACCCGACGTTTGCCACGTCGCTGGAGATCCAGATCAAGACCCCGATCACCAACACGGACGAGCCCTCGGGGACTAACCCGGGGGCGGGGGCCACGTGCAACTGCGTGCGGTTCGTTCCGGAGTTGGGGTGGTTTTTGGGAGATTTCGTCCCCAACCTGAGTTTCGACGAGGGCCGGGTCCTCACGGGGCCGAACGCGGGGACCTACGAGCGCAAGCTGCACGTGCTGCTTGGGGGCTCGGGCGGGGGTGGGCTCTACCCGAAGTCGCCCACGGGCGCGCCCACCACGATGCCCGTCACCCTCTACGTCCGCACCGTGGCCTCGGACCCGCGGTTCACCGAGTTCGTGCCGGGGCAAAGTGTCCCGCCGGGGAAGACGCAGACGGTGAAGCACTGGGACTACTCGGAGCCGGTGAAGCTGAACGACGAGATGTACTTTGTGCTGCAGTCCAAGGACGAGAACAACGCGGCCCGCATCGACGGGAGCGACGTCTACCGCGTGCGGTTTAAGGGCCCGCAGCACGCCATGCGGCCCACCGACGGCTGGTTTCAGGGGACCGTGTATGCATTGCAAATATGATGTCGAGGTCTGGAAAGATTGGACTTGTATATGCTAGTCCTACATTCCTGTAGAATCTGTATTGCGTGACCAACAAAAAGACGTTGACCTCTTTTGTAATAGAGAAAAGTGCAGTTTTTCATGCGGGCTGCGCATGAGAAAGTGTCCCGCAAACTTGTCATGCTTGGCAACATCAGGAAGTATTTCAATCATCTACGGTTGAGCATGACAAGTTTCCAGACCCAGACAGTTTTGCAATGCATACCGGGACCAACATCGGGCGCGGCCGGTACGGTGTGTCGTTCCTCATCGTGGCCTTAGGGATTGCAAATATGTCGGGGTCTGGAAGAGTGGAACTTGTAATGCTGTCTGCGGATTCTAAAAATATTTGTGTTGCATGAGCAGCAAGAGGACTCAGCTCTTGACACGCGGAGAGGGCGTTTCTCATGCGTAATTAGCATCAAGAGGCTCTCAAAAAATCTGTGTTGCTAGCACCAGCATCACAGACCTCACGGGTCATGCAAAATGCGTATGACAAGCCCCGACTCTTCCAGACCCAGACATTTTTGCAGTTGATAGGCGTCGGGGATTTACGACATGATCATCGAACTTTCCGACGCGCAGGGCCGCTTCACGAAGATCGGAAACCCGCCGACCACGTTCAAGCCGGTGATCGTGGTGGACCCGATCGACGCAGGCTTCACCACCGGGTCGGGCACCGGGGTGCAGCACACCTTCTTCCGGCACCTCCCCGGCGTGGTCATCGCCGGGGAAAACGCGGAGTACAGAATCACGGCCAAAGACAGCTACAACAGCGAGTACTTTATATGCATTGCAAAAGCATCGTACCTTGTATAGATTGCATATACACGAAATTAGCTCAGCGTGAAATTGAAAAATTAAATCTGTCATGCTACATAGTACCTAAGAAACCAGATTTGTCATGCTAGTCAGGCATAATTTACACGACGAGCGCGATATTTTTGCATCTGATGCTTTATGGGCGGCAACAACTTTGAGGTGCGGTTCGCGCTGAACACGTGGGCGAACCTATTGTGAGCAAAAACGTTCACACCCCAGAGTTGTAATGCAAATCTGCATGCTGAAAATGTTTCTCATGCGGAGACTGATGCGAAGCAGTTGCTGTTGGTGTTTTGAGATTTGTGATGCTCAAATCCGCATGGTGTGCTAGATCTGTGATGCTGCTTCTGCTTCACTAGCTAAAAGCCACTATATTGCGAGCCCAAATTTGTCATGCGCAACAGCCAAAGCCTGGTGATTTGTCTAGCAGATCTGGTGTGCTGGGGACGCTTTTCCTCAGGATAGAGCCGCGCCATGGAGCTCGCCGCGCAGACCACCACCTTCGACTACCGCTCCAACACGCTGTGGCCGAAGGGGGACCCGTTCCCGCCGGACGTGAAGTGGGAGGTGTTCGACAACCTGGACGGCAGCTACCACGTGAAGTACACGATTTGCAAGGCCCGGCTGTGGGAGGTGCAGTCCTGGCTGTTAGAGGACACGCAGCTCCAGGCGGAGCACACGGGGAACTTCACCGGGTTTCTCTCCCGGACCATCGTGCAGGAGTTCTTCGGTCTGGACAACAATCTGCCGGCCAACATTCTGATCAACGACTACATCCAGAACGTGAACTATGGAGAGAAAAAAGTTCTTCACAGTCACTAACTTGAAGGTTTTGCATTACAAATTTTTTTTAGCGTCACAACTTTTCCTTGTATTGCAGAAACACTAGGGAAATCCCTTAGGGAAATTGGCTGTGATGCATTTTTACGCATTACAGAAAGCTTTGTATTGCAAAAATGCGCATGAGTGATCGTGGCGAACTTTTTTTGTTTGATATGAACGCCAGTGACCACTGGTCCCTGGCCTACGAGGCCACGGTGGAGGTGCTGTCCGGGCCTGCGGTGGTATCACATGCAAATTTGTCTGGGTCTGGACACTTGTGATGCTAAATTGTGCAAGATGAAAGCACTTCCTTAGGCAGGAAAGCATGACAAGTTTGCAGAATGCTTTCTCATACGCACTCCGCATGAGAAACTGCGTTTTGTATGACAAGAGAGGCTACGACTTTTGTTGGTTATGCAATACAGATTTCACAGGAATGCAAGACCAGCATTACAAGTTCCATTCTTCCAGACCCAGACATATTTGCATTCGATAGTTTGCCGGGCAGAGCTACATCTTCTCGGACGAGGGCGACAGCCACGACACGTCCTATGCATTGCAAATATGTCTGGGTCCGGATCCGGATCCGGAAGATTCTGAGACTTGTGATGCATGTTTTGCATGACCCAGGATGTCTGTAATGCACGACCTAGCATCACAGATTTTTAGAGGGCTTCCCGATGTTGCCTACTCCGCATGACAAACGCCCTCCCCGCGTAGCACAAACTAGACTCCTCCTGCTGGTCATGCAATACAGATTTTTTTAGAGTTCAAAGTTAGCATCACAAGATCCAACCTTCCAGACCCAGACACTTTTGCATTTGATACGTCCTGTGACCCGTTGATTCCGCTCTGGGAGAACGTGACGGACTCGGTGATCCCCCTCGAGTGCTTATCCTGAGTAAAAACGTCCCCACACCAGAGTCAAGATGGGAAATCTGCTAGACAAATCAAACCAGCTCGCGCTGTTTCGCATGACAAGTTTGACCTCATAGCGTGATCCTGTTTCGCTAGTTCAGCAGCATGACAGATCTAGCACATCATGCCGATTCTAGCATCACAAACTCCAAAACACGACTAGAAAATGCTTCTCATGGGGCTCTACGTGAGAAACTTTTTTGGCATGCAGAGCTGCGGGACAATTCTGGGGTGGGGACGTTTTTACTCAGCATAGGGCTGCCTGTGCCAGTCCTCGAACAAGGACTTTCTGAACTTCAACAACTGCTGCGGCGGGTGCACTACCAAATGCAAATACTTAGTATGTCTGGCTCTGGAAAAATAAACTTGTAATGCTGGTTTGTGAATAGTGAGTGACCTGTAATGTTGCACAGCCAAGCATGAGAAATGCATAAGTATTCGGATTGCGCGGCTAGGTGTTGCATTTTCCGCATGACAAACTGTGACTTTGCATGACAAGCAAACGGGTCTCTTCTTGGACACGCATCACAAAGTTCTCAGTCATGCCAGACAAGCATGACAAACCTTGCACTCCTCCAGATCCAGACATATTTGCAACGCATATGCACCCGGGTCTGCCCGCTGGGTCTGTACGACGCGCGGTCCGGGATCCCCAGCTTTGTCAACCTGTTTCTTCGCGACCAGTGCGGCAACCTGCCGAAGGCGCTGGGCGACGCGAAGTTTCTGCAGGACGATATGGCCTTCTCAAATGTTACATTCTCAACTGTTACGTGATTTGTCATGCAAAACGAGCATCAACGTCCACACAGTGAAGCTGCCTCGCATTGCAAATTTTGGAAGGGCTAAACAGCATGGAGATCTGTGACTGTGCCGAATTTGTAATGCAAGAGTTGCAAGATCCGGCCTTTCCCTGTTGCCATTCTTGCGTCACAAATTCATGTAACAGTTGAGAGCGTAACATTTGAGAATCCCATAGACGAGGCGGACTCCATCAGCATCAAGCTCGCGCGGATCCCGGGCACCGAGGGCCAGCACGTGAGCGGCGAAGACATGCAGAACAACGTGGACCAGGAAACCCCCCTGGTGTACCCGGCGAGCCTGATCGAGCAGTTTGACATCAACGCCGTGGCAGCCAACAATTTGGTTTCGGTCACCCGCGTGCGACAGCAGGACGGGCGGTATTCGCTGTTCTTCACGCCACAACGGCTGGGCTTCTACTACCTGGAGGTCAAAATCAACAACGAGCGCATCATCGCCGCACCCCACGTGTTCTACGTACGGCAGTCGGCGGTGCCCATTAACCGGGACTTTTTGGTGGACCGGATCGGGTTTTCGGAGCGGACCACCATTTCCCCGCTCAACGTGGAGCTGGGGAAGCGGCCCATCGCGGGCACCAAGAGCTTTTACCAGCTCACCGCCCGGGACTACTACGGGGACCCGGTCTACTTCGGGAACAACAGCTTCATGTTCTACATCTACCGCAAGGAGTCCACCTTCCAGCACATGTTCGAGTGCCCCACCGAGGTGATCTGCTACACGCTGGGTAAGGACGAGGCCACCTGCAACTCCCTGTCGGGGATGTGCGTGTGGGCCGAGAACGTGGTCACCTGTCTCCCCGTGTGCCCGAACAACCGCCAGGTCCGGTCCAGTCTGCCCACGCTTCCGCTGAACCCGCCGCCCTTCCGCGAGCAGTTTACGTACGAAGTGGAAACCACCACGGAGGGCGACTACAACCGCGTGATCACGTATCAAGTGCAAAAGCAAATATGTCTGTGTCTTGGATAAACTTGTATTGCTGGGTTGCAAATAGGTACGTGCAGATGCAGTCTGTAATGCACAGCCAAGCATGAGAAAAAAAGAGTCGCGTTGCGTGTTTCGCATGACAAACTGCGTTTTTGCATGACAAGCAAAAGGGTCATCGCTTCTCGGACACGCATCACAAACTTTTCCGTCATGCCAGACAAGCATGAGAAAATACCTTGCATCGTTCCAGACATTCAGACACATTTGCAACGCATATCGCGGCGCTGCGCGTCGGCGGGCTGCACACCATGTACTTCAAGATGCACCCGGAACTCATATCCTGAGCAAAAACGTCCCCAGACCAGAGTTGTCATGCAAATCTGCATGCCAAAAAAGATTCTCATGCGAAGCCACATGAGACGCATTTTCTAGTGGTGTTTTGGGATTTGTGATGCTATAAATAGCATGATGCACTAGATCTGTGATGCTGCTGAGCTAGGTCAAACAGCACTACACTACCAGTCCAAGAAATTTGCCATGCAAAACTGCTAAAAGTTGTGGATTTGTCTAGCCGATTCCCCATCCTGACTATGGGGTGGGGACGTTTTTGCATAGGATAACTCACCCACAGCGAGGGGTTCGCCCGGGTCACGCGCGCGCCCATCGATTACGTGTACCTAGCGGACCCGATTCCCAACATATGAACTGCAAATATGTCTGGGTCTGGAAGATTGCGAGATTTGTCATGCTTGTCTAGCATGACCAAAAAGTTTGTGATGCATGCGTGTCCAAGAAGACACGCCTTTTCCTGTCATGCAAAAACGCAGTTTGTCATGCGAAAAACGCAACACAAAGAGGCACAGATATTTCTCATGCTTGGCTGTGCATTACAGAGCATTTACCACTCCCACCGCAGCATTACAAGTTTGCAGACCCAGACATATTTGCATTTGATACAACATCCCGAAGGACCACTTCGCGATGCGGCTGACCGGGTACCTGTACGTGAAAGACCAGCAGCGGTTCCTGATCGACATCAACACAGACGGGGGTATCAACTTCTGGCTGGATGGCGTGCAGTACATCCAGGACCCGGAGGGGACGGGGAAGCAGACGGTGCAGAATCTGGACCTCAAGTCCGGGTACACCCCGATCCGGCTCGAGTACTTCCACAGCTCCAAGCGGCGCAACATTATCCCGTTCCTCCAGCTGTACTGGAGCGGGCAGTCGGTGAGCTACCAGTTGATCCCGTCCACCTCGCTGTACTACGAGGAGATCCTCCACGGCGGCATCGGCGTGCACAACGTGATGGGCGAGCGCGCGGCCAAGGGGCTGGGGTTCAACCCCTGGCGGCACGCGAACACGGATTTCCGGGCCACGGTTGGGGTGCCGTACTCCCTGTTCATTGTGCCCGTGGACCGGTTCGGGAACACGATCCGGAACCAGGACCCCTTTGACTGGATCGATGTGGAGACGTATTACAGTGAAAAATGCCCCCACGACCCCTGAAATTGCAAGAATTTGTGATGCGAAGTTTCCAGATGAAAACTTTTTGTTATGCATGAAAGGAGTATGAACCTTTCTGATGCAGAGTCTAGGCGTGTATCGCATCGCTTGCATGACAAGCGCCGCTCTTGCTGGGGTCTTTTGCAATACAAACTTTTGCTATTCACGATTGGGCGACACCTGTGATGCTGATAGATGCAAGAGAGCGCTTGTTTTGTTTGGAAAGGTTTGCAATACAAACGCTCCCAAGTTCTTCGGGGATGGGGGCATTTTTCATTGTAATAAGACGTCCAACCCCTTCATCGCCCCCAGCCAGGTGTACATCGAGAAGATCGATCTCGGGTTTCGGGTGGAACTCACCTTGGAGCAGTCGGGCGAGTACCAGATTTCTTTCATGCTCCGGGAGCGCGTGAACAACACGGCGTATGACAAGGCAAAGCCCGGGGTACTGCAGTTGATCGAGACGGGAAATTTGCTGACCCGGGTGCATATGCCTTGCAAATATGTCTGGGTCTGGAAGGTTGGAACTTGTGATGCGTATGATGGAGCAGGCTAAAATTTGTCTTGCTACGCAAATAGGGAATTTCTCATGTAGGATAGGTATCGGAAGGCCTGCTCAAGATCTGTAATGCTTTTGCGTGCATTACAGCCCATTTGCATAATCCAAAAGATGCATGACAAAAAAGGGCATTCTTCCAGGCCCAGACATGTTCGCATTTGATAGTGCAGACCTTCAACAACCTGGCGGACCCCACGCAGTCCGTCACCGAGTGCTCCCCCTCGCCGCCGCAGCCCGCGGGCGTGGACATTGTGTGCAACGTGCGGCCCCGGGACGTGGGGCGGAACGATCTAACGGATATCGAGCTGCAGGGTTTCGCCACCGTGCAGGGCTACCCCAGCTCGCGCACGGAGCCGATTCTGGTCGGCGACGTGGTGGTGGACCAGAATTCCATCCTCGTCGCGCGAAACTTCCGGTTCATCCCCAAGGTGGCGGGGAACTGGAAGTTTCAGGCGGTTGCGGTCTATGCGAAGATATGGTATGTAAAAACGTCCGCACCCCAGAGTCAAGATGGGGATCTCGCAACACAATTCCACAAATTTTGGCTGTTTCGCATGACAAATCTGCATTCGTACTGTAGCGCTGTTTAAGGTAGTCGTGTAGACGCATCACAAATCCACTGCCTTATCCTGATTCTAGCATCACAAACTTCCAGATAGCATGAGAAAATGGTACTCATGTTGGGGCCCCGCATGAGAAACATTTTAGGCATGCTATTTAGCATGACAACTCTGGGGTGGGGACGTTTTCGCCCAGAATAGAAGAACGTCTCGGTGTACTTTGACCCGGTGGATTTCCTCGTCACGCCCGGCCTGGTCTCGCCGAACTTCATGACGGAGAACGCGGCGGAGTGCATCCACCTTCCGGAGACACTGTACACGGAAGACCCGTTTCAGATTTCGCTCTTCACCAAGGACGCCTACGGGAATACGGTGCCGCAGGACACGGAGTCCTGGCTGGTCTCCCTGGAGGGACAGGCGGTGGGGTTCGACGAGCGGGTCCGGCCCTCGTTTCAGACGGGCGCCCTGGGCCGGCCGGGCGTGTTCCAGCCCTACGACTCGCGAGCGGACTCCCTGGGCGACGGCTCGAGTTCCTCGTTGCGCCAGCTGCATGAAGAGGTTGCCGGCGCCGGCGAGGGCTTCCACATCATCCCCAGCCGGGTGCCGACCATTCCCCCCGTCCGCTACGGGAACGGGAGCGTGGTGTTTTCCTTCCCGAAGGGCCCGTCGGAGCGGGTGGACCGGCTGTTGTCCATCGGGATGGTCTCGCGGTACAACCCGTTCGCGCTCAACTGGTGCCCGGAGCTGGTCGGCGAGGGTCTGCTGGTGGAATCGCTGACCGCCTACCGCAGCTTCGGGTCCATCGCCGTCCTTGGGTGCCTATGCAATGCAAAAGCATCGTGCTAGTATAAAATGCATTACAAATTAGCTTACCATGAGAAATGGAATTTGTCATGCTGATCTACCTTGGCACGGAGATTTGTAATGCATAAATGCAATTACGACGAGTGCGATACTTTTGCACAGGATAGTGCCAAATCGGGTACGAGAGGGTGTACGACACGGGCACCACGGAGGATTTCATGGGCAAAGTATCCTGAGAAAAAAGTGTTACTGTTACACATTGTGTTGCAGGCCAAGCAAGACAGACAAGCTCTGTCATGTCGGATATGCATAGGAGCCTCCTTTCATAGGTGTTTTCCCGTAGGATTTCTGCATTGCAAGTTTTCTCTCTCATGCAGAGAAATTTGTGTTGCTGAATTGACAACAAATGTGTAACTGTAACACTTTTTTCGTGCGATACAAAGATTTCTCCCTCTACTGCGGGAACCGCGAGGACAGTCTGGGCGGGCAGTGGCAGGACCCGGGGTCGAAAAAGTTCAAGGCGATGCTGGCGTGCCGGAAGATCCAGAAGTGGTGTATAACCCGCTCAGGTGTTACAATCTCAAGCGTTGCAATAGAATATGGAAATCTGTGATGCAAGATTGCATGATCCAGCCAAGTCTCATAGGATTGCGCACGACAAGTTCCGAACCCCTAAACCCCACGACAATGTGGCGAAATTTGTATTGCAAAAGGTGGAACGCTGTGCGAGTCTGTCATGCTCATCATGCGACACAAATTCCAGACTCTATTGCAACGTTTGAGATTGTAACGTTTGAGCAAGTCATATGGTGCAGCAACCCGCGGTTGGAACTGGTGGACTTGGAGACCAAGCGCAACTATCCTAGAGAAAAAAGCAGGCAGGTCATATTTGTAATGCCAAAATAAATACACAGAAAAATAATCTGTCATGGGTGGCCCCATAGCATGGTGTTAAGGATATGCAATACAGATTTTTTTGTGTGTTTGTTTTTGCATATACAAATATGACCTGCCTGCGTTTTTCTGTGCGATAGCAACGACAGCATCGCGGCCGGGCAGATCGTGGACGACCCGGATCTGCTCGACCCGCCGCGCCGCCTGCAGAACGCGCGGGAGACGTTCCTGGACTGGCGTCGCGAGATCGGGTCCCGGGCGAAGTTCGAGTGCAACGTCGGGTTTTCCCCCGGCTACGGGGACGAAGACCTGATCTGCGGGCCGGGCCGGCTGTGGCTGTCGACCATCCACGGCACCCCCTACGTGCCGCTGTCCTGCACCAAACAGGAAGATTTCTGTCCCGGGGTCGCAATGACCAACGGCGAGATTGTGTACGTGTCGCACAGCCGCGACTTCGGGTCCATCGCGCAGATCCGGTGCAAACCCGGCTTCACGTATATGCTGGGCGATCTGGACATTTTCTGTGGGGCCGAGGGCCGGACCGGGGTTTGGAAGCGGTATGAGCGAAACCAAACCACCGGCATCGCGGAGCCCGCGCGGCCGCTGCTGTGCTCCATGGCCAGCGACTTTTGCCCGCCGCCCGAGACGATTTTGAGCAACTACAGCAAGTACGACGGCGTGAACATGACCAAGACGACGGACGAGAACTACGGCATCAACAGCGAGGTCTTTTTCGAGTGTCTCCCCGGGTGGCGGCCGAGCGGTGGCGAAGACAAGGTCAGGTGCGGGACCCGGATCGACCTCGGGGCGGGCGTATCAAATGCAAAAATGTCTGGGTCTGGGAGATTGCGAGATTTGTCATGCTAGTCTGGCATCGCTCTCAATTCTGTATTGCGTGGCCGCGAAGAGCTCCTCTTGCCTATCATGGAAAATAAACGCAGTTTCTCATGCGGTGTACGCAACTCAAAACCAAGGCAAAACTTGTCATGCTGGGAAGCGCATTACAGTGCTTTCACTATTCCCCTCCTTGCATCACAAGTTTCCAGACCCAGACATATTTGCAATGCATAGGGCGGCGAGTGGAAGCTGTACGGAGACGCGTACAAAAACCAGCTGTATGACCCGCTGAAACGTTACAATCTCAAACGTTACAATAGAGTCTGGGTTTTGTATTGCATGATGAGCATGACAGAGTCCGACAGCATTCCACTTTCTGCAATACAAATTTCGCCAGATTGTAGTGCGGGTTGGGACTCCAGAACTTGTCATGCGCAATCCTATGAGAGTTGGCTAGATGATGCACTTCTTGCAACACAAACTCCAGACTCTATTGTAACGGTTGAGATTGTAACACCTGAGCAGGTTATATGCTGCCGGCAGATTTTCTGGAGTGCGCGAAGATCCAGAACTGGTGCCCGGACGTGGTATATGCGTTGCAAATATTATCTCATTTGGGTCTGGAAAGTTCGAACTTGTAATGCTGGTCTTACATTCCTGTGAAATCTGTATTGCATGGGCCGACATCAAGAGTCGCAGCCTCTTTTGTCAAACGAAAACGCACTTTCTCATGCGGGTTCTTGCGCATCAGAAAGCGTGCTGGAATGTTGTCATGCTTGGCTGCATGATTTGGAAGTTTTTCCATCATCCACATGGTAGCATCACAACTTTCCAGACGCAGACATGTTTGCATTTGATATCGTGCCGGCCATGCAGCTGAAGAACGTGGTGAACACCAACTGCACGGAGGAGAAGTACCTGGACTCCATTTGCTACGTGAAATGCCTCCCGGGGTACGGGGAAACCGTCACCGCCTACCAGTGCATCAACAACGCGACAACGCTGGACACCGGGGAGTGGACGTATTTGCCCAACGCGCACGAGCTAGCCACGGGGAACATCTCGACCGCTGAGTCCCGGGTCTGCAATATAATTTGCTCAGGTGTTACAATCTCAAACGTTACGCAATAGAAATTGGAATTTGTGTTGCAAAATCCGCAAAATCTGGCCTACTCCCAAGGGAGCGCGCATGACAAGTCGGGGAGCCCCAAACCCCATCATGAGAATCTGACGAAATTTGTATTGCGAAAAGCCCAAGTCTCTGTATGGTACTCATGCTGTTCATGCAAGACAAATTCCAGATACAGACTCAGATTCTATTATAACGTTTGAGATTGTAACACCTGAGCAAGCCATATGCAAGCCCGAGCCCTTCTGCCCGTTGCTGGAGCTGCTGAACACGGTGGAAAACACGACGGGGAAGCGGATGCTGCTGGACCAGAGTTCCTACCACTGCGAGCCCGACCACTACCTGTTCGGCTCCCTGAAAACGAACATCACGCTCTCCTGCGAGTCCTTCAACGACGTGGGTGTGTACTTCGACGTGGCCACGCGGGCGCAGATCACCGAGGTGAAGTGCTACGCCGCGGCGGACTGGTGCCCGCCCATCGGGGACATTCCGAACGGCTACTACGCGATTCCGAGTTACCGCTACGACACCGTGGGGTTTCTCAACTGCAATCCGGGGTACCGGATCACGCTGGGAAACTTCATCGTGTGCGACAAGCAGTCCCGGAAGTGGAAGTGGTCGTACTTGTATGCATTGCAAATGTCATGTCTGGGTCTGGAAGGATGCAACTTGTGATGCTGCCTTTGGATTCTGAAAAAATTTGTCTTGCATGATCAGGAAGACGAGTCCGGTTTTTGCTATGCGGAGAGGGTATTTCTCATGCGGGATAGGCATCAAGAAGGCCGCAGGATGAAATCTGTGATGCTAGAGCGTACACCACAGATGTCGTGGATGATGCAAAATGCGCATGACAAACTTGGGTTCATCTTCCAGACCCAGACATATTTGCAGTTGATGAGTTGAACCTGGTGGACAACTTCACCGACATGGAGTTCCTGTATGACAGTGCACAACTGCCGCCCCTCTCCCTCCTTTGTCATGCAAAACGCCCAATTTACGCCTTGGCGCTCGGCACTGTTTGCATGACAAATTCTGGTAGACCAAATAGCACTACAGTCCAGTTCAAATTTGTCATGCAAAACCTGTATTCTTTTTCTTGCTGACGCTTGTATTGCTGTTCATGCAATACAAATGCGGGGGAGCAGGGGGAGTTGTGCACTTTCATATCCGGGTCGACGTATACGACCCAGTGGCGATCAAACAGGAGGAGCAGGTGGCCTCCATGCTGTTGCGGGACTTCGACTACCTCGACGCGCAGCCGAAGTGCGAACTCGTGGAGAACTTCTGCAATGAAACGGAGCTGCTGGACGAGGTGTACACCTTTGAGAAACAGACGAAGCGGCTGCAGCAAGACGTCGGCTTCTTCCTCACCGTCGACGAGGGGATCACGACCGACAGTCAGGGACGGGACCACAATTTGACCGAGCTGGCGAACAAGTACCAGTATCCTGTGCAAAAGTATCGTACTCGTAGTAATTGCAGTCATGAATTACAAACTTTTTTCCTAAGGTAAATCCGCATGACAACTTTTGTTGCTCACGCTGAGGGAATTTGTAATGCATTCATGCGAGTGCGATACTTTTGCAATGCATAACCAGCTGGGGATGCGCGTCACCTTGACCTGCAATGAGGCCGAGTATTACTACTACAGCTACGGCACGGAGAACTACGAGTGCGTGCTGTCCAGCTTGTACGACGAGCCCGCGAGCCCCTTCGACGTGGTTGCCTACCCGGAAAAACCGGGGCACATCCCCAGCACGAACCTCTCCATGTACTACCGGCGGAATACCACCATGTGGGTCCAGTACGACAAGGCGAACAAAAGGTCCACCGTATCCCGTGGAAAAACATGCCCACCCCAGAGTTGTCATGCAATTCTGCATGCCAAAAAAGTTTCTCATGCGGAGTCCTATGAGAAGCATTTTCGTTTCGTGTTTTGGGATTTCGATTTGTGATGCTAGGATCAGGATGCTATGCTAGATCTGTGATGCTTCTGAGCTAGCTAAACAGGATCACACTATGAGGACAAACTTGTCATGCCAAACCACCAAAGCTGTGTGATTTGTCGTAGCAGATTTCCCATCTTAACTCTGGTGTGGGGACGTTTTTAATCAGGATACACCAACACGCCCTGGCACCCCTTGCACTGCCGGTCGGACCGCCCCATGGTGCCGGACTGGAACTTCTTCGAGAACACCTGCTGGTTCACGCACGACGGTTTATCACAAAAAAAATCCCCCCTCCCCACAGCCACATCAAAACGAAACTTCTGATGCTGGATTTGCGTACACAAATCAGATTTGTCTTGCAGTACAGGACTGCAGGCCCATATCATGCCAGAGTAGAAAGGTTGCGGCCTTGGCACTTAGCATGAAGAGCGTCTATGCTGTAGGCCCAAAAGCATTACAAACCGCCTGCATAATGGGGCGGAGCCTGTGGCGTTGCTTTCTTGCAAGACCGACGCGATTTGTGGTCACAAATCAGCATTGCAAATTTTCTGCGGCGTCCCTTTTCGATATGGGAAGGGGGAGCTTTCCCTTTTGATACGGGTACAACCAGCCCCACAACTGGTTCGTCACCGTGCCCAACAACCCGCAGACCGGCACCTGGTGCGTGTGGGTGAAGATCAACCAGGCGATCCGCACTGGGGACATTTGGCGCACCTACGACTCGGTGAACAAGCTCTCCTGGGAGATGAAGAAACTCGACCACGGGCTCTACGAGGTGTACGTCACCGTCGGGGTGGGGCAGATCCCCTACTACTTAGAGAACGCCGGGCGCCCGGTGGATTGGATGGGCTACATCAACAACACCAACAGCTGGCAACACTTGTGCTACGTCTGGTACATGCCGGGGTCCTCCGGGTACGCGGAGTTTTACATCAACGCCCTGAAGTCCACGACCCTGAACGGCGCCGAACTGCTGACCAACTTCGCGTTCCAGCACATCGGGACCCGCATCCAGCTGGGCGAGTTGGTCACCGCATGGCAGGCACCGCGGCTGTACAATTACCGACTTACCGAGGACCAGATCTTCGACCTCTACAAGTACGACCCGTTGCGCTGCACCGACGGCGGTGAGCTGCGCACCTGCCCGGACCCGCTTGCGTCGAACTCGCTCACCGTGGCGGTGTCCCACCGCTACCCACGGTACCAGCTCAACCCGCGCGCGCAGGACTCCCGGCTTACCTTCGGCTGCATGCGCGGCTTCGAGCGAAGCGACGGCTACTACAAAATGCAGTGCTCGGTGCGGGAGGTGTTGAAAGACTTACTGTACCCGCCGGTCGCGGGACAAGACAGCTCTGCTGCCGAGGACGTATCAAATGTAAAAATGTCTGGGTCTGGAAGAATGCAACTTGTGATGCTGCATTTGGATTCCAGAAAAATCTGTATTGCGTGAGCATCAAAAGGAATGCAATTTTTGCTACGCGGAGAGGGCATTTCTCATGCGGAGTAGGCATCAAGAAGCTCTCAAAAAATCTGTGATGCTAGGGCATGCATTACAGACATCAGGGCTCATGCAAAACGTGCATGACAAGTGTCAGAATCTTCCAGACACTTTTACAATCCATAGGACGAGTTCGACGGCAATTTGACGAACGGCAGCAACGGTTCGAACGGTACTGCTAGTGCCGCAGGTACTGGCAGTATCAAAGAAAAAATCATTGTTAGTGTAACTTTGTGATGCGCAACATGCATACTGCTTGCGGCTGTCATGCTAGGCATGCATTGTAAGGTCCACTCAAGCGCGTTTTCATCTACCATCAGCGCATGACAGGTTTTTGCTCTCATGCGAGACAGATTTGTAATGCTGTTACTCCAAAATCAAAAAAGTTACTTTACACCTACAATACTTTTTTCTTGGATAGGTAGTTCTAGCGCCAGTACTAGTGCACAAACAGTCGACCCGAACGCCGGGCTGTCGGTGAATGACAGCAACTACACGGCGATCACCGAGCCCCCACCGGAAATGGTATCAAATGCAAATACGTCTGGGTCTGGAAGATTGCCAGGTTTGTCATGCATATTTCGCATCCCCCGTGACGCCTGTAATGCATGACCTAGCGTAACAGATTTTTAGAGGTCTTCTTGGTGCGTACTGCGCATGAGAAATGCCCTCTCCCCGTAGCACAAACTGGACTCCTCTTGCTGGTCATGCAGTACAAATTTTTTTAGAATCCAGAGACAGCATGACAAGCTGCAACCTTCCAGACCCAGACGTATTTGCAGCGCATGAATGGTCCAAGTCGACGAGTGGGTGCCGTTTGACGATCACAGCAGTCTCGTGCAAGACAATGATGCCCTGGCCCCGTTCGGGATGGTCAGCGAGATTAGCGCAAACCCGTTCTTCTCCGTCACCGACGTGCAGAAGTTTTCTCTGGACATATCCTATTTAAAAACGTCCCCACGACCCCATAGTCAAGATGGGGAATAAGCTAGACAAATCCACAAGTTTTGGATGTTTTGCATGACAACTTTGGACTCGTAGTTGTAAAGTGGTGTTTGAGGTAGTTCAGCAGCATCACAGATCGAGTTGACCATGCCTACTGGAGCATGACAAATTTCAAAGCGTGAAAAGAAAATGCTTCTCATGGGGCTCCGCATGAGAAACGCTCTCAGCATGCAGATTTGCATTACAACTATGGGGTGGGGATGTTTTTAAATACGATAGGACAGCAACGGCTTTTGGCCGCTGCAGTGCTGTTTGCTGGAAAAGTTGTGCCGGGACCTCCCCGTGGCGCAGAACACCTATTACGTGAAATCCGTGGAGAATTACCGCGACGCATATGAGAGTACACAACTTCGACTTCCCCTGACCCTCATTTGTAAGTAGCATGAATAGCAACACAAGCTTTAGCAAGAGTACAGGTTTTGCATGACAAATTTGCGCAGGAGTGTAGTGCCAGTTGGGCAGCTGCCAGAACTTGTCATGCGAACAGTACCAAAAGGAAGAGGCAAAGTGTAGATTTGGCATTTTGCATGACAATAAAATAAAGGGGAGGGGGAGGTGTGCACTATCATAACGCGCGGGGCGTAAACGGGAGTTACTCGTTCTGCGCGGCGGATCTGAACGCCACGGGCCCGTCCAACTTCAACATCCAGCACACCGGTTTCTATTACGAGGAAGACGTGTCCGGGGGCACGACCTTTCTCGGGTGCCCGGTCATCAACTTCGCGCTGGGGCAGGTCGATATGTACACGGACCATCTGAACATCGGGTCCAGCGCCGCCGTCAGCTGTCAGGCGGGGTATGCACTGACCATCGAGTCTTCGGCCGTGATGGTGTGCGGCGAAGCGGACGCGGTGTTCAACCAAGCGCTGAAGCGGTGGGAGGTGCAGGGGCTGTGGCGACGCGTGGACGGGCAGCCGGCGCTGATGCCGCCCGTGTGTCGGCAGCAGCCCTGGTGCGAGAAGTTGCTGGTGCCCAACGCGCTCTCCATCGAGCCCGCGAATGCGCAGCAGCTGGGAGAGTCCGTGGTGATCACCTGCATGGAGGGCTACGAGCTGAACTTCGAGCAGGAGGGCACGCGGTTGGCGACGTGCAGTGAAACCCGTTTTTTCATGATCAACGACACAAGTTTGACCGACGCGGAGCGCGCGGACATCCGGTGCAAAAAGGTCGCGCAGTACTGCCCGACCGTGCCGAATGACGGCGTTCTGGATGAAGACGACGGCTCGCTGCTGACCCCGGCCATGATCGTGAGCAACGCGACCCGGTTCGCTACGCAATCGAATTTGGTGGTGAGTCCGGACTCGGCATCGCGACTAGGGGCCTACCTGTTAGATGCGAGGGGGGTCTTGCACAGCCTGCGCTTGTATCAAATGTAAAAATGTCTGGGTCTGGAAGAATGCAACTTGTGATGCTGCATTTGGATTCCAAAAAAATTTGTATTGCATGAGTAAGTACCTAAGGAAAGGCAATTCTTACTACGCTGAGAAGGCATTTGTCATGCGGAATACGCATCAAGAAGCCCTCAAAAAGTCTGTATTGCTACGGGATGCATCACAGACGTCATGGCTCATGCAAAACGTGCATGACAAGTGTCAGAATCTTCCAGACCCAGACACTTTTACAGTTGATAGCTTGTTTCATGAGTCCACGGGGAGTTTGGTCGTTGCTAGTAGCATATCAAATGCAAAAATGTCTGAGTCTGGGAGATTGCGAGATTTGTCATGCTAGGGTGGCATGACTCGTAAATCTGTCATGCACGTTTCCCAAGAGCCCCATTATGCTGTCATGCAGAAACGCAGTTTGTCATGCAGAATAGGCAACACCTAGTTGTCATTTGTGACCTCTTCATGATACGCCACCCAGCATCACAAGTTTCCAGACCCAGACACTTTTACAATCCATATAGCGACGTTGTGTTGTCGCAGAACGAGGATGTAAATGTCCCAGATGTTAGCACGTCGACAGTAGCTGTACCACAGTCGATTCGCGTCCAGGACATTATTACCGCGGTCATCAGCGACCCAAACCGCGTGCTCGGTACGAACGTCACGCTTCGCTGCAAACCCCCGCACTACGAACGCGTGTCTGGTGACGGGGATTTCGTCTGCGCCAGTGGACGATTCTACACCACCGACACGTACCGAAACGCCAAGCCGTTAGTGTGTCAGCGGAAGGACGCGAGAGTTCTGCCACCCTCGCAGTTGACGCCGGTGTCCACCGTGGACGACGTTTGCCTCTACGGCGACCGGGCGAACCTGGTCCCGGAAACGACCTTTCTCGATTCGAATTACGTGTTGAACCCCTACGGTCTGCGGCCCGAGGTTCCGGGGATCCCGTACACGAACGACAGTATGCTAGTGCAGAACAGCAATTTAGACGGAACCAGCGTGAAAAACGACGTGAACAAGCGAGGGACAATCGCCTTCTGGTACAAGTTATGGATTGCAAATATGTCTGGGTCTGGAAGAGTGTAACTTGTCATGCTACATCTGGATCGTGGAAAAATTTGTGTTGCATGATTACCAAAAGAGGTCCACTTTTGAACAAGTTTAGAGGCAGTTTCTCATGCAGGAAAGGCATGATAGAGATCTCACAGAATCTGTCACGCTAGGCCGTGCATGCCAGACCGCGTGGGTTATGGATAACCTGCATGACAAACCTAGCACTCTTCCAGACCCAGACATTTTTGCACTTGATACAAGCTAGACAACGCGTTTGACTTCCAAATGCTCTTGTCCGCCGACCTACTCCCCCGGGACGAAACGACCATGTGCGGCGCGCGGCAGCCGGCCAGGCGGAAAAACTTTTTCACGACCAGCACCACCACGACGACCACCACGACCACGACGACCACCACGACTACCACAACTACGACAACTAGTACCACGACCACAAGTTCAACCACGACGACGACCACGACCTTCGACGTTTTTGCGGCCTTCAACCTGACCAACGGCAGCAATTTAACGCTGTATGCCCATTTATTCGGTCTAGACGAAGAGGATGATGCTTCGTCGACACCGGCGGACCAACCGATTGGCGCCTGGACGGTCACGCTCTTTCGGGACCGGGACTGTGTGGTAAGCGGAAAGGAAAACATCGCGGGGTTGCTTGGCGGGGGAAACGCGAGCAATGAAACTGCTGGAAGCGAAACAGTAACTACTTCCAACGACACAAATTCCTCCAATGACACCGACGACAACGAGACGGCTTTGTTGGTGACGACCACCACCACGACGTCCACCACCACCACCACACCAGCCTACGTACCCGACTGGTCGGTGTTACTCTCCGGTAGCAATTACGAGGAGTGCGTGGCGGTCCCGGACCAGGATGCGTACAAACTCGGGTTTCGGGCGGTGCGGGTGACCGGCTGCGTGCAAAGCTACTTGGTAAACGAAACTGCTACGGAACTGCAGAATGCGGCGTTTGTTTTGGAACAACAGCAGCAAAACGCAAGTAATCAATCTTCGAACGGTAGCAACAGTACTAGCGATATTAGCCCCCAATTCCCGCCACCCGTGATGTACCCAGGACCAATTCTCGGTGCGTTTCGGTTTTACGAGACCGCAAATTGCACCGGATTCGAGTACGAGACGCCCGCGCTGGAGCGAGACCAGTGTCTGGCGTCGGGGTTTTTGACTTGGCAAATCCAAGTGGAGTGCAGCGTGTACGACCGAGCGAGGTACGCGCCGCCGGTGAAAGCCGGGCCGGAAATGCAAGCGAAGCCCTGGGTGGCGAACTTCTACGATAGGAAACAAGTGGGCGGTAGTAATAACTTGTGCGACGATGATGACGCGATTCTGAACGTCGCCGGCATGCACCCCAGTATCTGCGTTACCATGCCGGACGCGCCCGCTCCGATGATCCAGTACGGAAATTTTTCCTCCAGCGGTATCCGCAGTCTGCACCCGATCCGGAGTGTGACCCCACCGGAAAAATCGGATCAAGAGAAAGCAGAGAACAAAACCTCGTATACGGAGATCGACTTCATGTTCTTCGATCAGCCGGAGTGTGGGGGGTTTGGGTACACGGAAACGGTTTTGTATTCTGCAGCCGATCCGTCGCAGAGTAAAATGGTTACTGAGTACAAAAGCGGCGGAATATCTACTTCTAGTGCTTCATTCAGCGTCGACCAGAAATTCGCACAGTCTCCAACCACCGGCACCGCTGCGCAGGGGTGCTGGCCTTTTTTTAGCACCGGCGCTGATAGCAGCACTGCCGGTCTCCAGCAGTACTGGAACGCGTTGACGATGGAGCCTTTCGGGGAAAGAACTATCAAATGCAAAAATGTCTGGGTCTGGAAGATTGCTAGGTTTGTCATGCAGCTTTTCCATGACCCACGCGGTCTGGCATGCACGGCCTGGCATAACAGGTTCTGTGAGATCTCTATCATGCCTTTCCTGCATGAGAAACTGCCTCTAAGCTTGTGCCTCAAAAGTGGACCTTTTTTGGTAATCATGCAACACAAATTTTTCCATGATCCAGATGTAGCATGACAAGTTACACTCTTCCAGACCCAGACATATTTGCAATGCATAAGAACTTACCCCTGGCAACTGACGCTGTACAAGCACAGTGCGGCTTGCGAAGAAATGTTTTCCATCAATCCGGGCGTCGCGGGGAACATGCAAAACCAATGTGTTCAACTTCCGGACACGATCGCGCTCGAGACAGGGATTCATTCCATGGAGTTAAAACACTGCGACAAGAGTGGGTGGTTCCAACAGAGGGTGGTCAACATGGAGAACGCAGCTTCATCAACTTCGGGAAAAACAAGCCCCTATTTGGAAACTGTCGACCTGATGACGCACCCGAGTCAGCACCTGGCGACGACCGAGAAGGGCAGTTTCGTGCTGTATACCGACGAGACGTGCGGTTTCGGCGAAGTGAATAGTACGAACACAACAAACGACACTGCACAACTTGGAGTTCCCGAGCCGATCCACACAACCTTGTACGAAGCGCAGTCGTACGGTGTGTGCGAGAGCTCCTTTCCGCACTTTAACTCGTCTTTAAAAGCGGACGGTGTTTTCAGCGCGCGGATGCAGTGCACGTTGACTTCGAGCATCTCGATGAATGGAGGAGAACCTTCTGCTGACACGGTGTCTTCGGCCTCGACCCTTTTGTCCGACAACGCGACGGAGTTGAATGCGCAGTTCGCACTAGAGTTCAACAACGAAGAACGCTATTTCGCCGAGGGGGTTTTCGCCTACGACGTTTTCCTCGATGCGGACTGTACGCAGCAAGTCCGCGTGTATTTACCCGCAGATGCTGCTGAAACACAGACTTCAAACGCTTCCAATATGACGGACACTGGTAGTTCTGGCGCCGACGAGGAGGAAGTTCTGAACAGTCGAAATACCACCGGAAACGGCACGAATGGGTCGAATGTGATTGGTATTAATTGCAAAAATGTCTGGGTCTGGAAGGTTGGAGCTTGTGATGCTAACGGTGGACGCTAAAAAAATCTGTATTGCATGATCAGCAAGAAGAGTCCAGTTTGTGCTACGCGGGGAGGGCATTTGTCATGCGGATTAGGCATCAGGAAGCCCTCTAAAAATCTGTGATGCTAGGTCCTGCATTACAGACGAGACGTCCTGGGTCATGCAAAATATGCATGACAAGCCCACTAACATTCCAGACCCAGACACTTTTGCATTTGATAACTGGCCTGAACGACACCGACGGAGCTGACGGGTCCACTTCCACGTCGAGCGATGCGTCTGGTCTGAATGTAACCAACGACACCGAGCAGGGGAGTTTTGTCACGTTTGCCGCTACCGGAACGATTGGAAGTTCTTGCGGAGTAGAGAAACCGAAGACCCACTGTCTCTTCGACACGGCCACGCTGAGCAGGAAGTGCGCGATCCAGCTTCCGTACTGCGGGGCGAACGGCACGCGCGTGCGGTGGCAGAGTTTCTGGGACAAACCATTTTCTGTCGGAGCACCGGGTTCAAATGCTCCTGTGTTGATCCAAAACCAGTTCCCCCAGCTCTACGACAGCAACGACACTTGCCCATCGCTTTTCAACTTTCCGGTGTACCAGGTCGCGACCGTGGGGAGGTGTGAGCGGCTGGGGAACACGCAGTTTTTCCAAAAGCTCGACTGCACGCCGCCGGCACCCGTGCCGCAGAACGCGACCAATAAGACGGGTGAGACGCTGTTAGTAGGGGAGGAAGCGGACGATAATCTGTTCGGGAATGAAACCAACGGGACGAACACGACGACGTCAACATCGACAACTACGACCTTCGTACCGGACAACAAGACCGTGATGAACTATTACGACTACGACGACAAATTTTTCTATCACGACGGCTACTGCATCTCCCCCTTCTCCGTCTTCATCCACCGGGGGAAGCTCCTCGTGCGGAACTTCTTTGGCGTGCCCGACTGGCACGACACGTACCGGTATCAAATGCAAATATGTCTGGGTCTGGAAGAAACGGAGTTTGTCATGCACATTTTGCATGACCCGTGAGGTCTATGATGCAGGTCCTAGCATGACAGATTCTTTGAGGGCTTCTTGATGCTTATCACGCATGAGAAATGCCCTCTCCGCGTGCCAAGAACTGGACTCCTCTTGCTGCTCATGCAACACAGATACTTTTAGAATCTGTAGACAGCATTACAAGCTCCACCCTTCCAGACCCAGACATATGTGCATCTCATAACCGGAACCAGACGCGATTCCAGCTGCAGGTGAACACCTATGCATTGCAAAAGTATCGTACTAGTACAAATTGCATTTACAAATTTTATCAGAAAGAAAAATGGAATTTGTAATGCTAATTCAGGTAAAAAGGTAGGTTTGTCATGCAAGATTGCAATTAGTATGAGTGCGATGCTTTTGCACAGCATAACACCACCGGGTCCACAATCCTGCGCAGGAACGTCGTGGCGCCCAGTGCGGAAAAATTGGCGTTGTATCACCAGCAATTGCGGGATAGTGTGGTCGCGCAGTCAACTTCTTCCAGTTCTCCTTCTGTTCAGAACAACGAAACGGAGGTGGAAGTCTTGAACCCGTTCTACCTGCACGATCCGAAGTACGAGAAGAACGACCCGACGATGTACTACGAGCAAGTGTACCTGAGGGACGACACGACAGACTATTCCGCCACCATCAACATTGACAACGAGGAGTACCAGCACACGGTGTTTGTGGACGCCTTTGACGAAGACCGAATGCATCAGCGCATGGTAGATCGGCTCGGGCGGCTGAACGTGGTTGGGTTCACCCAGTTCGACCATCTAGACTTCCTCAGCTTATTGTCCTTCAACGATACAGCTAGCAAGGCGACGACGCCTGCTGGTTCGAGCAGCTCTTCGAATGGCACTTCGGCAGGTGGTTCTTCGCAGGCACCATCGTCTTCGGAACAAATCAGTTTCGACACGGTGACTAGTTCGTTACCACCGCCCTTTCCGGGTCAATCCGGGTACTATTTCTACACGCCGGCCAGTAGCGCCTTCGACCACATGGAGATTCCGGAACAGCAGCGGCTGGACGTGGTGTCCAAAGACCAGATGAGCGAGGACCGGCTGAACATTACGAAATTCGTCGACGCGCTTATGAAAGCCTCAGAATAGAAATCCTCAAAGTGGAAATGATTTGTGATGCATGAAATGCGACGCAAAAAAGACTGTGTTGCAGAGGACGCAATGGAGGCCGACTATTGTCCTGCTGAGGTTGAAGAATTGGAATGCTGCTTAGCACGACAAAAGGGCACCCCTTTGCCTTAGCCTGCATGACAGACATGCTTTACGTGCCCGGGAAATTTGTCATGCGCCGACTACAAAAACATAAACAAATTTGAATTTCGCTTCAAGTGGAGTCGTTTTTTTGCATCACAAATTATCTCCACTTTGAGGATTTCCAACCTGAGGCTTTCATAGCGCTGACCCTATTGGAAGACGCGAACTTTCAGGGAGGTGGAGAAATAAGCAGTAGTGCGACGTCCTCTTCAAGTTATGCTTCAAATTATGCTCCGAAGCACAACTTGGACTTCGATTTGCAAACGTGGCTTGAGGAGCGGAATCTGACCAATGCCGGGGCTGTGCACATGGCGTACAGTTGGGACACGGACCTGAAGACTGCGGCGCTGTTTATCAATGGGGAAGAAGTGTTCAAGCTCACAGACGTACAGGACGCGTTGTTCGAAAACAGCAGGGTGCGGACGTATCACACAGACACGACACCAAAACCTTCCCCCAAAGAACAACACGGCCTCTTCTCCCTTCCCAACCCCGCGACCGCGGGGATCGACCCGGTAATTGGGGTGGAGGAATTCCCTGCGACCGTGACCACGTTCACCGACCACGGCTTGTTCCTCGGCGACTACCACGGCAGCACGGCGCGCGACGCGTCTCTGAAGCCGCCAGTGATGCTGCACCACGAGGACCCGCCCGTGCCCTGGTTTGACTCCCGCCCGTTTCACTACCCGATGTCGCGGACCGCGCCCGAAATCTCGCGGGTGCGGTTTTACGACCAGAGCTTTGTGCAGGATGCTTTGAACGCCACCGACCCGGGCACCAACCGGAACGTCTTCGCAGACACGCTGTACCGGGACGAGTCAGCCGGCGGATGCAGTTACCTACCCGATAGCTGTCGAACGGCGTTCGACACCGGCTTCGATGTGAAGCGGCTGATAGAAGAGCACAACGTGTTTGTGGACCCAAATTTACAAGGCCCGGACGCAAATTTTTCCAGTAGTACTTCTGCACCAGTGCTATCACCGACTATCTTCACCGCTGATACTGAACAGCACTCGCCGACCGCCACGTCGGCAAAGCTGGCGCTGCAGTGCAACGCCGGATACCTCCCCCCGGTATCCTGTGGTGGGAAAGTATTTGAGAAATTGCGAACTGAAATTCTTCAAGCGCACCACTGGTTCTCCAACACGCTGACGGCGAAGCAGCAGGCCGCGTATGCGGTGAACCAAACGGGCAAGCTGCCAAAAAACGCGGACTTCTTTCCGAAGGCGGTTTTTGAGTGCGCGAAGAATCCGCAGCTGGATTTCGTCGGCGGTACCAAAGAGACGCTGGGCCCCGATCTGGTGACGCTAGCGGGTACGTTTGATTCGTTGACGAGTCTCTTCGCGTCTGCTTCGACGAATTATGGGGTCACTCGCTACCACCAGGAAAAGCCGTTCCGTCTGGTAAACCAGGATCCGGGATTTCAAGATCTGGACTACAACACAACCGAGGTGGTGGGGTACAGGAGCGAGTTGCAAAACGTCACGGTGCGAGTCAACGACAGTTTCACCGGAGAGGAGATCGACGGGGTGGAGGAGCAGGTGGTGCAAGTCCCAATTACGCAAGTTTTCCACCGGGTCCGCGCCTTGCAGGACAATTTCCTATCGGACTTCAGCCCCAACACGGACGGGCTGCTGCTCTCCTGCTGCGACACGGTGCCCGACTACTGTCCGCCCATCGGGCAGATCGAGGACGCCAAGCCGGTGCCGAACCGGATCTTGCTGACCAACGCCACGTTTCCAGTGCTGACCTACACGCCCGCGGTCCGGACGGTCGCCCGCAATCCGGGGAAGCGCGTGGTGAGTCTGCAGGGCGACAGAGAGGCGTTGCTGGCGGACAACTACGATTTACAGAACTTGACCGACGGAAACTTGGAGCAGTTCAAGTTTGCGAAATTGGGGTCCTGCGCGGGGAGCACCGCCGTCGCGGAGACCGGGCAATACGACCGCAGGATAGGCAGCGTGGTTTCCGTCACCTGCCCGCCGGGGGCGACGGAGCGCCAGGACACGTACACGTTATGAAGTGCAAATATGTCTGGGTCTTGAAAAGTGCAACTTGTAATGCGTGTCTTGCATTCCTGGAAAATCGTTGTTGCATGAGCAGCAAAAGAGGAGCTTCCTTTGTCATGCAAAAACGCGATTTGTAATGCCATGCGTATTAGTCATCATCAGGCGTCTGAAAAACTTGTCATGCTTTGCTGCCATTGCAAGTGCTTCAATCATGCGCAACTCAGCATCACAACTTCCCAGACCCAGACATAAGTATTTGCATTTGATACGAGTGTCGCGCGAGTAACAAGGGCCTGCCCGAGTGGGTGTTGATGTCCACCGGTCTCCCGGCGCCGCTGAAGTGCATCGACTCCGAGCAGTGGTGTCCGCTGCCCACTCTGATCGGGTCCCGGATCGTGTCCATTACCGACGGGGAGAAGTTTGGATCGGTTCTGAACGTCGAGTGTTTCAAGAACTACGAAACGGTCTCGGGCTTCGCGTCCACGGTGTGTGGCGCCAGCCGGTACTGGGTCCTCGAATCGCAGCAACTGAACACGACGGTGACCTCGAACGCCGACGTGTTGCAGTGCCTGCAGGTTTCCACCAAGCTGGTCCGCAACTACGACAACGCCCCGCCGCCGCAGCGGCTAAACGGCACTCTGTCGCTCCGTTGCCAGCCGGGGTATGTGTTCAAGTCCGGAAATCTCGAATCCTTCTGCGACGTCACGGGGGAGTGGTATTCTCGGGGCACAACCATGGACAAGATGACGAAACTGGTCGCTCCGCAGTGCGAGTTGCAGGTGGACTGGTGTCCGGAGCCCGTGGGGACCAACGCGTACATCAAACGCTACTACGTATCAAATGCAAATATGTAGACTGGGTCTGGAAGGATGCAAACTTGTGATGCGGCCTTTCGATCCTACTAAAATCTGTATTGCACCATGAGCAGCCAGCGCAGTCCAGTGACCAGCTCTTGCCCCGCGCAGAGGGCATTTGTAATGCAGTATAGGCATCAGGAAGCCCTCACAAAATCTGTGATGGAGGGGCATGCATTACAGACATCCTGGGTCATGCAAAATGTGCATGAGAAACCTTGTATCGTTCCGGACCCTCCAGACATATTTGCAATCCATACTACGACTCGCCCAACAACGCGCGCGGGCTGGACACGCGGGCCGAAATGGGCTGCAACGCGGGGTACGTGCGCAAGTACGGGGACGCGGAGTTGATGTGCAACATGAATTTGGTGGGCACCCAGGGCCTGTGGTACTCGGTCGCTTTTCAGCAGGTGGCGGCGACCATGCACTGCGAACTCGACCCCTTCTTCTGCCCTGCGATTCCCACCTCCGCCTCCTACACCGTGCTCTTCGATGGCGGCCGGGGGTTGGGCGCGATCTACCGGCGAGCGTGCGCCGAGGGGTTTGTCCGGTACGCGGGGGACGACGAGGTGGTCTGTGGGTTTGAGGGCGTCTGGAAGACGCGCACCGGGACGGGGACGAACCTGCGCAACGCGCAACTGCTCTCCTGTGTGCCGATCGAACAGTACTGCCCGTTGCCGCAGTTGGTGCACGGGACCACGTATCAGAAGGAAAAATCCCCCCTCCCCACATCGAAACGAAGTTTCTGATGCTGGATTTGCGCACACAGATCAGATTTGTCTTGCAGCAGAGGACTGCAGGCCCATATGGTGCCGGAGTCGAGAGGTTTTGGCCTAGGCGCTTAGCATGAGGAACGTCTATGCCGTAGGCCCAACAGCATTACAAACCGCCTGCATGAAGATAGTGGAGCGGAGCCTGTGGCGTTGCTTTCTTGCGTCACAAATGCGATTTGTGGTCACAAATCAGCATGGCAAATTTTCTGAGGTGTGCCTTATCGATATGGGAAGGGGGGATTTTTCCTTACGATACCACGAAAAACCGAGTGCAGAAACTGGCAGACACCGCCTACACCCAGTGCCTGCCCGCGTTTGAGCGCAGCCCGCAGCCGTTTCAAACCCTACGGTGTGAGCACTACAAGGGCAACGCCACTTTCACGACCAGGACCGGGCCGGCGGATTATCAGGTATATTCTACTTTCAATTTCGACCGCGTTGTTGGACTATGTATCTATACATAGTTTGCTGTCGTGCATCTTCGTCAACATCTTGCAGGCTCGATATTTCGAATAAATCATCTGGCTCAAGAACATCGTCTTTCGATTTTGTTCGTCGTATGGATCATGCTGCAGTGCAGTCGTCTTAAGCTGCTGAAGTGTTTGATGCTTGGTCGTTTTGAGGACCTCGTTCGAGAATTGATATGGATTCAAAATCGAGCAAACACACAACCAAAAGGTCGGCGAGTTTGCGCACGACGGGTATTGGATCGTGAACCAAACTATCCAGTGCAAACAGCGAAGATCGGGGTCTGGAAGATTGCGAGACCTGTCATGCAGGTTTGGCATCATGTTGACTCTAAGCTCTGTATAGTTGTGTAGCTGCGAAGAGCTCGCCTGCCTGTCGTGCAAACGCGCAGTGGTTCTCAAGAACTCATGCTGCATAAGTAACACAGAGCCACGAAAAAACCTGTCATGCTTCGCGGTGCGTGAGCGTGACAGTGTGCTCGTCACGAAGATTCGCTGACTTGCGTGACAAGGTTTCGCAGACCCAGGCTCATCTCGATGTAGTTTGCAAGGTCGATACAAGCGAACGCCACGCTGCCCCCCGCCGGCCCGCACTTTGCGTGCACGGCCCGCACCGATTTTTGTGTGGCCCCCGCTGCGGAGACGCTTGTGTACTCGGTGATGACGGGCGCCGCACTGAACCCGATGGGCGCCATGATCAGTTTCCAGTGTCTCACTGGGTACCTCCCCAGTTTCGGCTCGTCACAGCTGTTCTGCGGCGTTGCGGAGCCCACGCCCGGCAACTACGTCGGGATTTGGATCCAGGCGGACGGCATCCCCGGCGTGCCCCTGGCCTGCAGCGGGAGTAAGGAAGTGTGCCCCATGTTGAGCACAATCACGCCGAACTCGCAAGGGTATAGAATAAAAACGAGTAGTACAACTATCACTATACGACGAGAAAATATTAGGGGTGTTTCTGTTTTCTCTACTTTATGCTTTTTTTGCAGCTCCTCCTGCAGAATAAGATTCGACCGATTCGACCTTATGTATGAGTTTAACATTTCCTTTCCGCAGGTACTTCCTTCTCCCCCTAGACCGGTCGTTGAATTCCAAAGCGTTCATGCAGTGCAAGATGGGATACGAGCTGAACCGCGCGTACACGCTATCCTGAGTAAAAACGTCCCCACACCAGAGTCAAGCTGGGAAATCTGCTAGACAAATCTGTCAGCTTTTGCTGCTGCGCATGACAAGTTTGGCCTCGCAGTGTAATCCTGTTTAGCTTGTTCAGCAGCATCACAGATCTAGCATATCATGCTGATTCTAGCATCACAAATCCCACAACACGACTAGAGACTGCTTCGCATGGGTCTCCGCATGAGAAACATTTCCAGCATGCAGATTTGCATTGCAACTCCTGTGTGGGGACGTTTTTACTCACGATACACGCCGCACAAGCCTCTGATCGCGCACCGCATGGTGTACCAGTGCTGCGTCGTGGTTGTGTATCGCAAGAAGAAAGAAGTGTTACAGTTACACATTGTGTTGCAGGCCAAGCAAGACAGACAAGCTCTGTCATGCCGGATATGCATAGGAGCCTCGTTTCATAGGTGTTTTCCCGTAGGATTTCTGCATTACAAGTCTTCTCTCTGATGCAGAGAAATTTGTGTTGCTGAATTGACTACAAATGTGTAACTGTAACACTTTTTTCGTGGGATATTGTGAACGGCGTGGAACAGGTATGAGAGTGCACATAGCTCCTCCTCCCGCTCATTTGGATGGCATCCACAGCAACACAAGTGCTGGCACAAGTGCAGCTTTTGCATGACAAATTCGCGACCGCTTCCAGTGCTGTTTCCGCTTGTTCGGGCACAATCTGTCGCGCAAGCAGCGCCACAGGGCATGCAAAGGGTGGATTTTTAGAAGGCGTTTTGCATGACAAATGAGGGGGAGTTCGTTGATGCGCACTCTTATAACAGGGCTTCTGGTCCAACATCATCGGTCCGCAGACCAACTGCCCCACCACCATGGCCAGTATCCCCAACGTGGACAGCTGCGGCCTGATCAGCAATTTCTGCCCGGCGCCGGCCATCGATCCAAACATGGAGGACTTGGAAAACAAGAACATTCTGACCTACTTCGACCCAAACCTGTATTTCACCTACGGGGCGCGCCTCAGCTTGTCCTGTCCGATTCGCAAAGAAATGGTGTACGGGGACCCGGAGCTGGTCTGCACCGCACAGGACGACAGTACCTTTCCGGGAAAGTGGCGCCGGTGGGTATCGTGAGAAAAAAGCGTAGTTTTACCCGTAAGGATTTTGTGAGTTACTTGCGTCACGCAGCGTCCGTGAAAACGAAAACTTGCCATGCGAGAAAGCGAATGTCTTGCAGTTGCATATGTAGCTGCAAGACAAATGCGTCTGTGTTCCATTCTATCATGCATCAAAAGTGTACAGTGAAACAGTTTTTTCTGCTTGCATAGTGGGTGGCCTCGGACTACACGACCGCGGTGATGGATCCGAGTGTGAACTTCACGGAAACGGAAGACGGGCTCGGATTGAGGACCATCAGGCCAAATTTCGTGCCGGTACGTTGGGCGTTTTTTGTATTCTCGTGCGGCCAGAAGTAGAGCGAGGCGAAATTACTACTTTCATAGGAGGTACTTACTTACTTGCAAAAAAGAAAATCTCGGAAAATAAACTTTTTCTAGAATTGCACGTTATCTAAAAACACAAAAATTCTGTAGATGGCGTGTGGGTTCGAGCGCCAGTTTGGTCTGAAGCTGCGCGCCACCTACCGTTCCGAGTTGCTAGACCGCAACGAGTATCCTGTGCAAAAGTTGTATCGTACTCGTGCTACGCGCAAATCTTTTTTTTTAGTTTTTAACGCAGTCGATGGAATAGAACAAGTCCATTTATTCTTGTCATCGTGTTTTGCTAGTTTGAAAATTGTAATTTCAATTACCACTAGTACGATACGGATACTTTTGCAATTGATAACGACCCCCGAGCCCGGGCCGAGGTGGTGGACAGTGTGCGCTACATGATTGCGCAGGACACCAGCGACTACGATGAAGAGGAATTCACGGGCCACTTGATTCCCGGTGTCTCGGGCACCTATGAGTTTAAGTTGGAGGTATTTGGGAAGGCGCAGGTCTTCCTGGAGGGCGCGCTGCTGTTCGGCGTGGAGTCCGATCCGAATCGGGACCAGGTAATTTTATAAATTTCAATTGTTTTAGAATATTAGCTCAAGTGATGATCTTCATGTTCCGAAAAAGTGTCTCTACACCAAAAGAAAAGCTAACATTACTATAAAAACAGCTCGTTAACGGCACCACGCAGCTGTTTGACACGTTTGTCTCCCGTTCGGTCTACCTGACAAAGGAGCAGCTGTACGCGCTTTCAGTGAAATACCAGTACTACGTAGCGAGGAACCTGGATTACCGAGAGCCGTACTTGACCCGGGCTGCCATTCTCAGGCTGAAGTGGAAGACGCCCGACGGCGTGGAGCAGGTATAATGCATATATATCAAAGGAGAGTTTGTAGTTGTCGGTTAGGTTTGATGTTGGATCATTTACATTTTCCACCTCATCGAAGATCTGGTAATGTCCTCTGCGCATTGGCATTTGCATTTCTGTGGAAGAAGCGAGCTGCAGATAGATCGAGACTTTCATCATGATTCTACGTTCTTTGTCTCGTCAACGGTCTTCTATCCTGTACCTGCTTACAGATTGTTCCGCCTCAATTCCTGTTCCACTCCGCCGAGACCTTTCCGGGGTACCCGATCCGCCGCACGGTGATGAACGACCCGACGCCGTGCTTGGCGTCGCCTCAGGTGGACCGGCATCGGTTGATCCGCCCGCTACGGGTAGACCCCTTGACCAACCAGACCATCGGGTGGGACCGGTGGAGCGGGCTTTTGTCCCACACAAAATCGGCGAACCCGCAGCAGCGGTACAACCCCAACACGGCGTGCTACATCGAATTGACCACGTTCGAGACACGGGACTACATGTTTCACTTTAATTTGGATTTCATGGACGTGTATGGAATACAAATATATCTGCGTCAGGCAAGAACTTGTGATGCTAAAGTGTGGATGTTCGAAACACTTCCGAATGCAGCTAAGCATGACAACTTTCAAAGACTCTGGCTTATGCGCAGCCCGCATGGGAAACTGCGTTTCTGTATGACGTATCTATGATGACTACTTCTGTTGGTCATGCAATACAAATTCCACAGGAATGCAAGACCAGCATTACATACAAGTTCGAATTTTCCAGACCCAGACATGTTTGCATTTGATACCTTGGAATTCTCGCCGTCGTGCGTGTTCGACCGGGTTCTGATCTGGAAGGGCGTTTGGCGGGGCAGCGTGGGGCAGCCGCCGAGGCAACTGCTGTGCGGGGAGAACCGAACGAACGAGTTTTTGTTCACGGAAAAATCCAACGCGTTCTTCATCGAGTTCTACAGCAACGAAGCCTACGAGTCGACTGGGTACCAGATCAACTACACCGTCACGGATGTGTATGAAAGTGCACAACTCCCCCTCCCCCTCATTGGTAATGCAAAATACCTAATTGACGCCTTGGCTCTTTGGACTGTTTGCATCACAAGTTGTGGCAGCCCAAATAACACTACACTCCTTTCCAAATTTGTCACGCAAAACCCGTATTCTTGCTGACGCTTGTATTGCTGTTCACGCAATACAAATGAGGGGGAGTGGGAGTTGTGCACTTTCATAATGTGACCACGGGGTTTTAAAAGGATCGAGATTTTTAGTTTTACCGATCCAACTCCGAGCTGGAAGGCATGCGATAATCACAATTTTTACCTCAAACTCATGTTCCCCGAAGGCACAGCTTCAGCTACGGCCAATAGAGGACAAATTGGAATCAGTTTATAGCAACTTCAAGTAGAACAAGTAAAAGTATATCTAGCCTATGGGCGGGCGCACGATTGTGCCTCCAAGGTCCTTAACACCAAAAGGCAACGGACCTCGTCTTTGCTCGTAATGTATCAATCCATTCTTTCATCATCTACTAGCGAAAAAAATGAATTTTGCACATCTTTTCGTGTACAAAGCAAATATGATCGACGAGCCCGATGATCTTCTTACACTTTTAATACTTCACAACTTCATTTCTGTCTCTGAATACTTGAAATCAATGCTTGCAACTCAAATCGAAGACGCGAATTTGGCCGTGTCTGTCTTACTGTTTGCGTAAGTAGAAGCCCCGTAGTACCCAGTACACTAGCACTCCTCAATGTAGATTTGAAACAAGACTGGTTTACGGACTTCTATACATATGGTTTCTTTATTGCAGCAACGCGAACGCTTCCGCGTTGTCTTTATCAATGTTGACAATTTTCATTTCTCTAGCTTCAATCCTGAAGAACCTAGTAGCTTTTCGCCGTCCGGCGCGCGAGAAATCTGTTTAGAAAAAATCACGTTGTCGTAAGAAAAAACCTCCAGAAGTGAGACACGACCTAGCCAAATAAATTCTAAGTATCGAATTCCGTACTTACAACACTTTCTGTTTCTGTTGATCTTGATTTGAATTGCTGCAATGGCCGGCGACGGATTTTTTTTCAAAATGCATTTGCTATTCGTACCTATTCCATTTTAGTTGCTTTTCCTATTCTTGTACAAGTTTGATGGTAGAAAGAGCCACGGATTTTTGTATCACAAATGTAATTAATCATTGGAGAAGATGTAGAATAAAATTGAATTTTTCGGCGTCACCAGAAATAAAGTAAGAAAGAATTACTTAATCAATTTTCAGCTGCTTCTGCAGTACTGCTATTTTGATCTTTGTGGCGTTGTATTGGCAGTGGAAGTCCTGAAATTGAGCAAGCATTGCAGTACTATTGCAGTACAATTTACGTCCGTCGATTTCTTTCTTTCTTTCTTTCTTTCCGTGCCCGGGCACGGCATCAAATGTTCAAGGCCCTAAAAATGTCCATCTTTTTCTCATTTCAGAAGAGCAAGAGGAGCAAACCTACGATAAGGGACGGGAACAAACAAGCGCGATCATTTCCTCGTCGGTGAGCGCCTGTGGGGCGAAGATGAAAAATCAGCAGGAGGAAATTATTGTTCTTCGACAAAATGATCGAGTGCATATGAAGACGCTCGCAGTCGCAGGTTAACTTGCATGAACATGAAGATCATGTAAACATGATGACGTTAAGTATTTTCATCAGATTTTTTTCCGAAATAGCTTCCGAGAAGTACGGGAGCACGCTTCGTTCCTCGGGCTCTGATAGACCGCACTGGCGCTGACCGGAAGAACCGGAATGTAATATAGTCTCGGAACTGGAACTGCTCAAGCTCACGAGAACATCAAGCTCGAGCACCGCCCAACATCATTGTTGTCGTCCATCAAGAACCGAAATTGTGTCGCCGACCCGAGCCGGCATGTCCTGGAATTTTTGGTCGTCTTGTTCATTGAGAACAACAACGCAGGAGTGTGGAAGGCCGGCGCGGCTGCGAGGTTGTCCTCTTCGAAGCTCCTGCAGCGGAAAAGTGCGGTCGAAATCTACTTCGTGCTGCGTTGTAGGTGGAACTGCAACTACCGCCGTGGTCCTCGTAACTGCTTTGCTGATGGGAAAAATCTTTATGGTCGATGAAGAAGATGAATGTGAAACTACAACATTAATACCCTCCTTGTCTTTCCCTCTTGTGCGAGCTGCCTCGCCCGGGCGGCCAGGTCGAGATGAACAAGAACCTTCCGGTCGTTCCGTCCCAACATCGGTCGCGACAGACCACAATGAAAACAAGACAGCAGCATCAATTACAACGACCAAAACAGCTTGTAGATCTCGACATGGAGGACGACCACAACAAGGAGTCGTCGTGGGTTACGAAGAAGGTGAAATGATCCCAGCGCCCCCGGCGTCGCACTTGCAGGAGCATCTTCAAGAAGAAGAGGTGGAGACCACAGCAAGAGATCAGAGAACGCCCGCGAGGACCAGTAGAAGTACTACCGAATGTACTAGTACCGAATGGTTTAAAAATGTTCGAAGTCGTGGCACAGGCACCACAGCCACATCTCCCGTTGTCTTGACGGCACAGCTCCTCACCAAGCGAAGCGAGATGGAAGCGAGGTTGAACGACGACCTGGAAATAAAAAGAAATTCCGGCACTTCATCTAAAAAATCCGACGAGCATGATGATACCTATTCCCCCGGCAGCGCAGAACCACGGCAGAGCCAATTTTTGCAATCCTTGCAGCGCTCGGTCTCCCAGTCGACCTACCACAGCTGCTATACATTGCAAAAATGTCTGGGTCTGGAAGATTCTGAGACTTGTCATGCACGGTTTGCGTGAGCCATGATGTCTGTGATGCATGCCCTAGCATCACAGGTTTTCTGAGGGATTCTTGATGCCTATTCTGCATGACAAATGCCCCCTCCGCGTAGCAAGAATTAGACTCCTTTTGCTGCTCATGCAACACGAATTTTTTAGACATCCAAATGCAGCAGCACAAGTTGCATTTTTCCAGACCCAGACACTTTTGCATTTTAGAGCTGCCTCTCCGCGCGATCCTGTTCGTCAAGGACGTCTTTCAGGGGGAGAGACTCGGCTAGTAATGACCCAAGCGGACAAGCCGTGAACAAAATGAAGTCACTTGTCATGCACAACAAGCCTCGCGTGATTGGGACCGCCGCCGCGGTCGCGGGCGACATCGAGGACTTAGCAGACGAGCTCTTTGAAGACCCGATGGAGCTGCGTCCCAGCAGTGAGCCGGAAGAGGAGGACATGGACAACCACAATGTCGATGGAGAAGAAGGTGATCTCTTCTTGTTTTCATCTGAAGACCACATTTTTAATGTGACGCGACCAGCCGGCACAGCAGATAGTCCCGAGGACCACGTTGGTCAACAGCTTGACGACGCTTCCAGTTATTTCGACCGAACCGAGCAAGAGCGGACAGAGGATCAGTCGTCGTCCGAAGAGATGAAGAACTATGAGAAGCTGATGCACCAAGTGGAAAATAGACAGGCTCCTGTGATGCTGGAGGAGGCTCACACAACGAGCCTGCAGGAGTCCTCGAGGGCCGCGGTTTTTCCTGCTACAACACATGAAGATGGGGGCGTAGGAGCGGTGTCGGTCGAGAACCACGACGAGGATCAGCAACCGCGAGTAGAAGTACGGGCAGGAGATGAAAACAACAACGAGCCGCGTGCAGCCTCAGCGCACAAACAACAAGTCGAAGACCGCGCTCGTAACGAGGCGGACTTTGGGTTCCTGGTGAAGGGGCTGGATCAACTGCATCTGCGGGTGGGAGATGCGGAGGATGATGCATCCGACCCCTCTGGAGGAGACCAAATGCACATTGACAGCCGACCCGAGCGGCCCATGATCTTCTCCGGCGCGGAGTCAGAGACCACCACGCGCGTGTCGTCGGGTGCGGGAGGCGGGACGGTCTGTAATTATATTCCGTCCCCGGACGGGGACGGAAAAAACGACACGCCAGTAGTACCTGGGACCGAAGTACTACTATCCACTGACGACCTGAGCAGTTGTGACGAACACCTCCCGGCGGCCGTGGCAAGTCCAAGTCCTCCCAGGACAACTCCTGCGGGCAGTAGAAGCACAACGGGACCACGACGAGAGGAACAAGGGCAACAATGTGAAAATACCGCTAGCGCATCAACTCATCTCCCTGGAACAAACTACACAAGCAGCTCCTCTACTTCCCTCACCCGTCGATCGCGAGTGAGCCAACTGCAGATTTGTTCTTCGGACCTGGGTTCTAATAATTCTAGTGACACAGACACGGGGACGGCCACGGCGAACCAGGGCCACCAGGAGCGGGAACTACAGGAAGAACGCGAGCTCGACCAGGCGGTGCGAAAAGGAACGAGTAGTGTTGAAGATGTGTTTAATAAACACGATCATACAACAGGTTCTAGTTCTACCTCCACTTCAACCCAGGAAGCAACTACAACCAGCAGAGATGAAGTTCATCCGGTTGCAGGAGCAGCTGGTGGGACGGCGTGCAATAAAACTCTTCTAAACACATCGAGGACGACGTCCATGGGGCGTAGTACCGGTGCTGCAGCTCTTACAACTACACCGAGGAACTACTGTAACGCAGAACCTCCTTTTGGGCGGAACAAGAGCCACTGCAACCATTCGTCCAGCTGCGCGTCCCCGGTCTCCACCGTTCCGACTCCGTCGGACGCTCGGCACCCCCAAGAACCTGCTGGAGGTAGTAGTAACATCAATGCATTATCTTCAAACAGCAAATGCAAAAGTAGCAAACTCAACCAAGAAACCAAATCTGTCTATCACGGCAGCTGGCAGCGGGTCCCGGGCAAGGGTTGGGTCGGGCGGAATGCTTTGCTGGGTAATAAAAACGACGGTAGGGACGAACAAGATGCGAACTACTTTCTTGCCGGTCAGACTCCGACGCGATTTAGCTCGCAGCAACGGACCTCGCCGTCGCGCTCGTTGACCAAGATGTTGACTTCTGCACCGGAACAAAAACAGAACAACGCACTGAAGGAGGACTTGCGCAAACTCCTGGCCTATGAAATGCAAATATGCCTGGGTCTGCGTATGGAAGCTTGCGAGATTTGTCATGCTTGTCTAGCATGACCAAAAAGCTCCTTGTGATGCGTGTCTAAGAAGAGACCCTTTTGCCTGTCATCCAAAAACGCAGTTTGTCATGCGAAAAACGCAACAGAAAGAAGCGCAGATATTTGTCATGCTTGCCTGTGCATTACAGAGTATCAGTATTCACTATTCCCAGCGCAGCATTACAAGTTTCCAGACCCAGACATATTTGCATTTGATATGGCCGCGCAACGGGAAAAAGTGGATCGCGAGGGCACGACCTACTCCTCGACACCGGCCGTGAGGAATGTAAACCGAAGACTGGCGTTATCCTGTCGTGTAAAAACGTTCCCGAACCACAGTTGTCATGCAGATTTGCAATGAGAATGACAGGGTACAGCAGTACTTGTAATGCGCATACCCAAGGGCAAGGGAGGCATCCCTACCCCCAATCGTGTTTTGGAAGTTTTAATGCTATGTTAAACGTACAGGATTATTTAGGAAATAGCTTTGTGATCGTCATCGTCCACGGCTTTGTTCCTTGCTAAGCTGCACTGCAATACGGCGAAAATAAACTTGCCATTTTTGCATCCCAAAACTTCTCAACCTGTATTCTTCCAGAGATTTTCCCAGCCATCATTGACTATGGGGGGTCATGGGGACGTTGTTACTCAGGATAGGCGGGGGCGGGGTTTGCGGTGCCGGTGAACGGCGTTCTTGCTGGGAATACCTCGGATTCGTCCAGTGAATACGAAACAGATTACTCCGGCGAGGAGGATATTGATCCGAACGCCGGAGGGAAAACCGCGGTAGGTGCAGGAAACCACCCGCACACGACTGCCTAGCGACGTGGAAATCGATGAAGAAGGCATTTATTTTTGTACGAAAAAGACAGCGCGCCACTCACTGTTTCGCATCGAATGAAAGACGACAAATATTGGTAAATATTTTTGGGAAAAAAAAAACGATTTTGCAAGCTTGGAAGCAACTAGACAATTTATCAGAAAACTTTGGGAAAATTATAGGTGGCCACCCATATTGAGGATTGTTAGTGGACTTGAGAACACTCGCACACACTTACACACGTTTGCTCCACTGTGCTCGTTATCAACAGCAGTTCAACGAATTCTCTCTATTGCAAGTAAGCAAGCAAGTGACGCAAGTCTCTTGCTGCGTTACATCCTGTAGGTTCAATTCATCCAAATTCATCGCATTCATATGGACCAAACCTGGTCAGAGTCAAGTGGCCAAACAGCATGGGAGTCCACTCCTCAACCTGCTCAGATTGGTGCTCGACCCTGGCGGGAGTCAAGTCCCCCAGGGCGACCATTCCGAACGTCTGGACCGAGCTGAGTCCATTCATTTCACTACGATCCTGATGGCTTTGCCTTCGTAGTATTTGGGGGATTCGCGGAACATGGTGACGAGTTTCCTTTAGGATCTAGATAGATTCTGACCATTTCCCTAAGGATCTAGCTAGTTCAGGTCATTCAGAACTGTCATTTCATTGAGGAACAGGCGTCATTTGGGGCGATCGTGTTACGTGTGTGCGGGATCGATTTCCATGACCAACACCCCTCCTCAATCGCTGCGGCGGTGATGCTAATCTGGATAACGTCCTACCACACTCCCCTCCTGAGCGCGCTGTGGTAAACTAGCTACCCCCTCTAGAAACCAAAATAGATCGAATAAGTATAGCCTACTTTAGCCTTGCCCTTATG